CTTTTACTTCTTTGTCTGAGAAATGTCTGTTCATTTCAGATGCCCATTTTTGAATTGGGTCTTTATAATTAGGGGGCCTGATTTTTTTTTAGTTCTTTATATATTCTAGAAAATAGACCTTTGTCTGAGGAGCAGCTGGTAAAAATGTTTTCCCACAATGTAGGTTGTCTTTTAGTTCTGTTGATGGTTTCTTTCGCAGTGCAGAAGCTTTTTAGTAAGACAAGATCCCAGTTGTTGATTCTTTGTTCTAGTTTCTGTGCTACTGAGAAGTTGTTCATAAAGTCTTTTCCTATGCCAGTGTCTTCGAGAGTTCTGCCTAACTTATCTTCCAGCAAGTTTACTATTTCTGTTTTAATATTTAGATCTTTAATCCGCTTGGATTTTAGTTTAGTGCATGGTGAAAGATAAGAGTCTAATTTTAATCTTTGGCAGGTTGAAATTCAGTTTTTGCAACCATTTATTAAAGAGGCTATCTTTCCTCCACTGAGGATGGTTGACTCCTTTGTCAAAGATGAGGTAGCTAAGTATGTCTGGAGTTGTTCCTGTATCTTCTAATCTATTCCACTGATCTTCATGTGTGTTTCTTTGCCAGTACCATGCTGTTTTTATCACAGTGGCTTTATAGTATAGTTTCAAATATAGTTTGGGGATTGTGATACCCCCTGCCATATGTCTGTTGCTTAGAATTGCTTTTGCTATTCTAGGTCTCTTCTGGCTCCAAATGAATTTTTGGATTGTTTTCTCTAGTTCTGTGACTTCCTTAACTTTTTATCTTCTGGACTGATGCCTCAGGGGTGCTACACTCAGGACATCATATCCTTTTACCAGAGTCCCAAATATAGGAGAAGAGAAGGTTTAAAAAATATATCTGTCTTCATTAGCATTGGCTTTCCATTGGACAGTGAAGTTCTACTAAATCTTCCACTTACATCTCACTGGCCAGCCCTGAGGCTGCAGAGGCTGAGCTGAATCAGGGGCTTGATCCTCCCACCCCCACCTTATCAGGCTTCTACCTGCAGGGGGAGAAAGTGCAGGAAATGGCATCAATTAAAGACCTCCGTTCTTCCACGCATCTCTCTCTCTCCACATTAGATGTCCAAGCCACAGAAGTGAAGAGGTCACTCCAACCTGGAAGTCAAAAGAGCTCATCCTGGCTGCAGAAGTCATCTCTGCTTAGGGCCAGGCCACTGCTCACTTTGTTTGAGGACCCAGATAATCAGTCTTTCTTTTCAACACAGCATGGTCTGGCTACTTCAAAAATAAGCCATACTCAGAGTGCTAGACCTGGGAGCTGGTCTCTTGGGGAAAATTCTGCCAAGGCCCACAGCATGTGCAGCAGCAACAAGGGCCACAGTCCCTCACATAGTGTTTTGTTTTGCAAGTCTCTGTGTTAGCACTGATCCTTGAGAGGTCCAGGCTGCTGGCTCCTCACCCATCTTTCCTGCTGAGGATCTGAATCTATTAGAAAATATAATAAGAAGAACTGACAAACATATAGGACTCCAGCATCAACATTATTCAGAGTCCTCTGTAAACTGCAAGATAAGAAAACTGAGTGAGACATTTTAACTCTGTCACTCGAGGTCAAAAGCATGGAAGGACCTTCTGCTTTGAGTCATAAGGAAGCAGTGAGCACCAGACCAGCCTTTGATGTACACAACTATAATGCACACAGACAACAGCGTCCAGACACTGGTAAGACCCAGTGTAAGACTTAATCCCACAAGGAAGAGACATTCGTGAGGTGACTCCTTGATCACCCAGGTCTCAGCCTGAGTGCAGGTCAGGGAGCTTGAATCCGTGGCAGCTACATGAGCTGTGGAAGCATAAATCAGAGTTTGAGTCAACTAAAGAGACTAGAATCTCCAAGCCAGGTCACTGGAACATTTTGGGTTATTCGACGGGTGAGGAAGTCTACATGGGGATACCCTGTAAATCTTTACCCAGTGTCTGGGCTGCACATGCCCAGCAAGAAGGTACTGAGGCTGTGAAGAAAGCAGCTACTACAGAGCTGAGAGGACAGCAGCTACCAGAGGTGACACTATTCTGGAGAATAGTGGAGTCTTGGCCCAGCTGGAAGAGTCCCAGTCAGCCTGGGCATCCAGCTAAAACGTCCTATGAAATGCTTATTCCTTATGACCATCCTAGAGTAAGGCTTACTCTAAACCTACCTTAACAAAGCCAAAGACCAAGACCTAACAAAATGCACAGGACAGACCAGGCTGGAAGCTGAATTCCAGCAAAGAAAGAAATGCTGGGAAATTACGTTGGGTTTTTCTATAGATCCATGCTAGTAAAGCATAAAATCAAACTACATAATGTCAAGTAAACAAATCTGCCTGCTGGCATAACTAAACAACATTATACCACAGAATTCAGAATGTTTATGACAGAATTTGCAGTGTCCAGTGGAAAAATCAAAGATTGTGGATATACAGAAGCTATAAAAATAGGAATGAAGGAAAGAAATAATCAATAGAAATGGACCCTGAGATGCTCTGGGCATTGCAATTAGAAAGCAGATCTTTTAAAGTAGCTATAATATATTCAAGTCAATTCAAAGAAACAAACAAAAATGGGACATGAATGAGTTAATACATAGGGAAACTCTAAGAGGACTCAAAGCGATGAAAAGAAAAAAAATGCATTCTGAAAATGAAAAGTCAAATGACTTAAATTTGAAAATCCACTGGATGAGAATGACAACAGAATGAAGATGAAGACATAAAAAAATAGGGAACTTGAAGATAAACAGAAATTCTAAAATTTGAATATCAAGAGAAAAGTAGAAAGAAAATGAACCAGAACTTCAAGGTCCTATAGGACAACATACAATGATCTAACATATGTGTAATTGGAGTCTCAGAATAAAAGTATAAACAGAAAAAGTATTTTCAGAAATGATGACCAAACTTTTACCAAACGTCATTAAAAACAGCAACTTAAAAAGCTCAGAGAGTCCTAAAGATAAATAAAAAAGAAAATCACATCTAGGTATACTACAGTAAAACTGCTGAGAACCAACATAAACAGAAAACCCTTAAAGGTCTTAAAAGCAGACAGTAGGATAGAGACGGGGATACCATACTGGGAGCAAAGATACAGTAATATTGTACATGAGAAAGGCACAGAAGCTTCCTGACATGAACTGAAGGTGAGTTCACAATATTCAAGAGATTTACTTCCTAATATCCTTGAGTTGAACTGAGACTTAAAAGTCTGATTTGTACCTCTTCCTTGAGAAAGTAAAATGTAAGAACATTAAGACTAGGGCTTTGGCAACTTGAAGGTAAGACAAATTATGCCTTTCATGATTAGACAGGAAAATGTAACAAGTGAATGGGAAAATAAATATTTAAAGGTGTGGAATAAATATGTAGTAATATGGTCAATCTCTTAAGTCATTATAGCATCTTACAGGTTAAGTTATTCTTTTACATCACAAATTATCTTATACAAGATTATTACAAGCAAAAATGATTATTTCCCCAAGTATCACAGAAAGCATTATCAAAATAAAACATTCTATGTGTAGTCTTATATTAAGCAAAGGAAAAATATAAGAAAAATGAAAAGAAAAGTTTTAGGAAGCCCCAAAGGATAAAATTACATCAAAACCAAAAGAGTTACTTGTAAAGCCCCATTCACAAAGCTTTTTGTGACCATAATAATACAGATAAAATTTTAATGTATCTTCTTCATTTTGAACAAATATTTAAGCACATTTGGGAACAATGCTGAGCAAAGAATTTCCCCTCTTTTTTTGTTGTTGCCGTAAGAGAAAAATAATAATAATTCGCTGGTTTCTTTGTCATTCTAATTTCTTATTCCCAGCATAGTTAATCATTAGGAGTTACATAAATAAATATGAACCTTTTTTATTTTTTCTTATTCTACACAACATTCCCCATCCCAAAGAAACACAATTGTCAATGGGTTTAGAATTTTTAAAAATTCCATCTGGATGTTACTGTTTCCCCAGCAGTTCTGGGCAGTGGGTCTGCTGACCATGGGCCATGGGGGGCCCTGGCACTGTAGGACACTTAGCAACACAGGGGGCCTTGTCTTCACCCAGGCGTGAGGAAATCCTGTCTTCAGACCCTGCCAAGTGTCCTCTAGGGGGCAGAACTTCTGTCTAGGGGGCCCCGAGAGATAAAGCCATAAACAGGTCTTTCCTCCCCACCAATTCATTCTTTTAAAAAAAATCATGACTTACAATTTACGTTGAAAACAACCATCCCTTCTAATAAAATATCTGATGTTCAATTGTGAAAGGACTTTCCTGCATGTAGAGAAAAACACTCCAATTTGGGGGCATGTCAGATTTTATTAATGGACTGAATTTAGGTTTTCTTTTTGGTTACTTGGTAGGTTTTGATTTCTGCTTTCAAATAAAGCAAACTTTTTCCTTTCTGGGATGCTTCATTCTTCACTCATTCACCTATGAAAGACACGCAAATTTGGCTCAACAGAGCTGGGACTGCTTTTAGTAAAGCAAACAGCACTATTTCTAAGCCACTGATCAGGAGGACGATGCATTTTTCACCTAAGTGACACGGGATACATTCAAGGAATTTTTAATCAAAAAGAGACATTAAACTGCAGATTGTTCTTCACGAAGCTCAACTTTTAGAGAAAACAAAACATTTTTGTAACTGTTATCTAAATCGAGACATCTTTTCTGTCAGTTTAAAAGTGTTACTAGGTACTAATCACCACCTTTTCCAAAAGCAGACTGCTGAGCAGGGCAACCAGACGTTTTAAAAAGAAAACGCTGTACCATCTCCACGATCTGACGGTTAATTCGGTGGAGGTAGAGCCACCAAATTCCTAGACCCCAAGGAACCACTGAGTCTCCTCCTCCCATGCAGGAGAGAAAACTCCCGAAATCTGCTGGGTCTGTTTGTGCGTGGAACTTCCTTCCCGGGAGAAAATACAGACTAGCAGGGCGTCCCAGTCCTCGCCCAGCCACACACGCAGCTCGGGCGCCTCTGACTCACCGATATGATACAGCCCGATCCAGTCGCTGGGGTCCACCTCCTCCTTGATGTCCCAGAAGATGATGAGGTTCTGGGCTTGACCCAGTGTGTACTCGTACATGCTGGCCGTCAGGCTGGAGCGGCTCTCGGAAGTCACCAGGTCCGTGTCGCTGTTGGCGCGCGGCAGGGTCATGTTCTCGGGCAGCGAGCCCTGAGCAGCCAGACTCTGCAGGTTCTCGGGGCTCAGCGTATACCGCATCTGGGGGTTCCGACGCCGCACAAACAGCAGATGCTCCCGGGCTGAGCTAGCCATGCCGCCTGCCTCCCCGGGGCCGGCTTCCTGAGGACCTGCGAGAGACAGAGAGCAGACCTTATACAGCGCTGTAACTGAAGAAGCTGGCTAAGCTTCCCACACCAAGCCCCGAGGTCTGCCACTGGAAGAAACCCTACTACTCTACTGGCAGTGACGTGCCAAAAGTAACTTCTCTGGGCCGGGGTCACCTGGTGGCAAAGACTGTCAGCCACCTGCGACCGGAGCTCCCTTGGCACAGATTTCCCCCAGCAATCGGGAAGGAGGGGGCAGACTTCACCAGCCCTTTCCCAAACCACCCTCCTCCTGCAGAATGGCTTCCTTGTCTCCTTTTCCATGTTTTATTTCCTACTGCAATGAAAACTTAAAACTGCAAAGTGGAAATTATGACATCTGCTCCAACAGGTGAAGTGTAGCACTGAGTGTAAGCTCGCTGCTCAGTCCCTGAGCGAGAGGAGGTAACGCGGGAGTCATCCTTCAGAGCGGGCTCAAACGTCACCTCTCGATTCGACCCAGGAGCGTCACATTTAAGGCTCCAGTACTCCAGACTCCCATCCCTCCGGCCTCGCTGTAGGGATTGTTACCATCCAACGTACCACACGTTTCCGCTTCTCTGACTACTGGCTACTTCCCCCGCGAGAGACGAAGCAGTGCCGGGACACAGCAAGGTGAACGTCTGTCAGGCGGACAGATGAGCATCCTCGCCTCACTGAGCCATCACGAGCATGGACTCTCTTTCTGAGCCTCCATCTCACCATCACGATTTTCTGGCTGGTCCCTTGCCCTTTGCACCACTAAGGTCATGGTTTCCTTGGCTTCTACTGGGGACCTGACACAGCCTCCTGCTGCTCAGGGCTGGGGCAACCTCACTGCCAGCTGCTGCCAGAGCCTCAGATTTCTAAGACCTCTGCACTTCAAGGCTCTGTCTCCCCGCGCCGGCCTGATTTGCTCACGGGTTCACACCTCCTCCCCCAATCCTAGAAGCTTCCACAGACGGATTCTGATTCCCTTCTAATTTCCCCTTTGAGAACAACACAGTCCACTACACACGTGTGGACTAACACTTACTGATTCTGTACCATTAGCACCTGGGGAAGTCTTTGGGGTACTGAGTTTGACTTAGAGCCCGACACTACTGAGGCTGGGGGACGATGGCATGGCTTCTACTTGAAAAGTAAACCACCTACCTGTCTTGGATGTAATGTTTACAGCGTAACTAACAATGCTGGACACAGGAGAAGGGACAGCAGGTCCATGATTTGTCCATTTCCTCATCTGGTCACAGCTGGGGTGAAGAGAACTATTTCTATTGATGGCAGTATTACTTACTGTATGTGCAATGGTACTTATCCAAGTAATTTCTGCCATAAGGCTGTTTTCATACTTAAAGCACTCTTTCTTGAATTGAAATAACTTGGGAGTGGTAAGCAAGGTGTGCTACATGGAAATGATAGAAATAAAAACGGACAGACAAGCCTATCTGCCCATTTGATAGGATTAAATTCTACATCCTTCTTCATAAGTCAAACACTTCTATTTTCTTATGTGGTCTATGATAACTGTGACCATCAAACGACATCCATGACTGTCTGATAATCTCCCAACTCTGAAGTCTAACATATAGGTCAGTGTCTTCTAATCTACTTTCATCTTAGTGGATTTCAGCAAACCATTATTTCTTTACAAGACCTGTGAGTCAGGTACCACATCCACTTCAACAAGAACTATAAATAATTAACTCCTAACACACTGCAGTCAAACAGCAAGTTGCAGGTGGTCAGAACCCAACTATTTTCCCGAAAGAAACAGACCTGAACCTGTAGAGTCCAACAGCAACAGAAGAACACCTAACAATTATTCTGCTCTCGAAAAGAGTGAAAGCCACATGCGTACACACAGCTACATGACCTCTAAGCACAGAAGTAGGTGAGCACAGCAGAGGAGCCCCTATGTCTCACCTATGAATCCACTCTATGACCTTTGACAGTTTAACCCCTCCTGACTCCGTGATCCCACCTGTCATGCAGGAGCAACACCTGCCTCTGAGGATTTTGGAGAAAACTAAGTGAATTAATACAAATAAAGTAACTAAAAAGTGTCTGGCATATAAGATGCACTTAACCAAGTCTAGCAATGAATATTCTCCTGTGACTACATTCTCCTCCAATGACAGCCCAACCGGACTCTGCACTCACTTACTGATAAGTCCCCTCCCTCACTTACTGATAAGGTGGGCTGTGAGCACCCTCAAGTACTCCCAGCACAGCCTCCGGCCAGAGACAGGGGCCCTATTGGCTCTGAGGAGCTAGTCTACCCTGAAAAGAGCCACCCTTCCATCCTCCAGCTGGAAAGAAAAGCTCAAACGGACTCCCACACCTCCCTCCTATGAGGCATTAAGGACACGAAGAGGAAAGTTCCACCCTCACAAAGGATGCACTCTCACAAGCAGAGACATGGGATGAGAAGATTAAAAAAAAAACCACATAGCATTGATTTTTGTGGAAAATTCAAAGGATTTACTAGTGGGTGAAAGCACTACTCTAACTGAATCCTGCAAAAGCACAGGAAGCATGTCCTATACCACACAGCAGAGTATACTAAAGGGTAAGGAAGGTAAAGCCCTCTTTCCAAATTCTTTTTTTCACTTACCGAAAAACGTGCATGGCTCTTACCCTCCAGGAAGCTGAGCTTTTGGGGGTGAAGGCCAAATATTCATATAAGAAAGACTTCAATCTGCTACCAGTGGCACTTTACACACACACACACACACACACACACACACACACACACAACTTCTCCTAACAGTGCTCCCCAGTGCCTGATGTCTTCATAACAGAAAATGCTCTATGCTTTCCAAAGCACTGTCCAATTTCATAATTTCAAGTAAGACCTCAGGATACTGCATTTTGGGGTTTTTTTTTGTACCGAGGATCAAGCTTTTGTCCTTGCACTTGCAAAGCAGGCAGCAGAACCACTGAGCTAAATCCACAGCCCTTTTTGTTTTTCTTTGTTGTTGTTGTTGAGGATACTTTGAATTAAGTTTGAGAACTATCACCACCATCTCAGTTTCAGACAAGGAAATTAAGAATTTGTAGGCAGAAGGTTGGCTGAAGGAAAGAAAAGATTCTTGCTGGCAGAGGTTATGATTGAGGTGACCCTTAAAGGATTGATTAGAAGAGAGGGAGAAATGTGTAAAGAACATTCTAACCAGAAGTACGGCAAAGCTACCAAGGAAGGAGATATGAGAAGGAAGAAAAAAAAAACCCAGAAGCTTAGCGGAATGTGTGGTAACAATCCTAAAAAGAGACCAAACAGAAGCCCACCACTGAAGCACAGGGAACACCAAGCACATGCAGAAAATACTGAGTGGTGAGGTTAATCCGTCCATGGGAGGAGGAGGAGGGAGGGAGTCTAAGGACGGCGTCAAATGCCACAGAGACGGAAGTTGCAGCATTTGAAAACTTGAAGGAAACTGGTGGCCTGTACGGAAACCAGTTTTGCATGGAGTGGTAAAAGCCAGATTGTTGAGGTTTGAGGAAGGAGGCTGGGAAAATAATTGGGTAAGAACTGAAACCCCACCCCCGAAGAGTAAAGCAGAATAAAGGAAGAAGACAGGGCAGAGAGCAGATGTAGCCTCAGACTGTGATGGACCCCTTTGCTTCCTTGCATTGCTTTAGGATGAAAGAGAATTTTTTTCATGTTTCTAATACCAGCACAGCAACTACACCCTCAGAGTATTTTTACATAAATGAAATGGACAGAGAAAGGACAGTAAAGAGACAATGAAGATGAAGATACAGGAAACAGGGGAGAAATAGGATGGAGATCACCAAGTAAAAAAGGAGGAGGATTCATCTAAAACCAACACTGTAGCCGAGGGTTTAGCTCAGTGGTTCCGCTCCCTGCCTCACAAGCGCAAGGACCCAAGTTCAATCCCAGGTACAAAAAAAATTTTTTTTCATTAAAACCAACACTCCAATAGAAACGTAATGCAACCCACATATGAAATTCTACATTTTCTAGTAATTACACTAAAAATGTAAGATTTGGAAATTTTAATAACATTTTATTAAACTTTAAACTCATATATCCAAACTGTTATTGTTTCTACATTAATACAAACAATTGTGAATGGGGCTCTTCCCCATTGGCGATAAGGTTCTTACTACTGAAAGCACATTTTAATCCAAAGAGACCACATCTCAGGCCCTCGGTGGCCATGTGGTGCTCTTTACAGCCTGGGCACAGCACAGATCTAAAGGATGGAAGGGTCCCCAGTTCCCACAACAGCTTCTTCTTGCTCAACTGAAGGCCTGAAGGTGGCAAAGAGGAACAGTCAGGATTCCTTACTTCCAAGTTTTGCTGTGTTGAATTTTAGCATGAACATACTGTTTCAGCCCAATTGCAGGAATCCTACAATGCTGTGAGCCGGAGACTTCCAGGCTGGGCAGAAAGGCTTTCTGGGGATAGACTTGTGGACAGGGCCTCAGAAATTCTTGTGCTCTCATTTAGCTTCTTTTCTTCTACTTTTTTGTAGCTACTCAGTCTTCAAAAGCAGAAGCAGGGTCCCACTGGTGATTGTGTGTGTCAGGGAGGAGATGAGGCCATGAAAGAATAAAGGTTGTGTCTTTAAAACTCAGATGCACTTACTGAGGGATTTATATGCAGCCCACTTGGATAATTTACACAGAGAACCCAGGGCATTCACAAGTCAGTAGCAGCATGTCCTGAAACAACACCCTGTCTCACTATGGACGTCTACTCAATGGAAATAACATTAATGCACCATGTAAGATTGCCCTAAGGGTTACAAGTGTCACAGGGGTGAGAGCCCCATAAAAGTGGCTCTTGTTATCTTGGTAGGCAAATTATATAAGAACCAAGCTGATGCCTGATTTCGTTTGGGATAATTCTCAATGTGGAAGAGTCACCCCAAGTCCTACCTCATGCTGGATGATGGAGCACTAGGAGTGGAAACCATGGTCCCTCACGGGATAATTCTCAATGTGGAAGAGCCAGGGGAGAGGAACGCTAGGAT